TGGAAACATGTCAATATGAACTTGGTAGCAAGTTACAAAGCTCTTACATTTATTTGCTCTTGTTTGAACTCCCATGTGGGTTGTAAAGATTGCTTTTTCACAGACTCCCATGCTCTGTGTAGAGGGGTGCTGAGGGACCGAAGACCCCTTCAGGTGTGATTCAACCTCCCTGCTGGCTCGGCTTGAGGTTTGCCTCATGCCTGGCGCTCCTTCCCCAGAATCAGATTCCAGCCCTTAAATCTGTGAGGACAGATTAAGAAGCTAAAAACTCCTGGATGAACCAAGGTGAAGTGATTGATTTTTTTGCAAGGTCTTCACACTCCTCTTCCAGCAGTTTTCCACCAAGGAGATTCCAGAGCGGTGAAGTTTAGGCTGGAAGCAGTAGACTTTCTCAGATTCCTTGAACATGTCTGTGAAAGCCTTGTGTCTTGGAAAAGACTATCAGCTTCTCAAGAAGGCGGATGGCTTATAGACAGGAAATAGAGTCAGTGTGGAGACCAGCAGGAGGGGTAGAGCTGTGCCAGGAACTGGGGCAGAGAGGTTTCTGAGAAGCCGCCACCACTTAAGGGAGCAGAGGCCCCGGTCGAGGTGGGTGGGAGGATGCCCGGGAGCTGAGGAGCAAGGGAAGGAAAGGTGGCAGTCTTCTCCCAGGTGGAGATGGGCTGCTGCAAAGGTGGATCTCACAAACTGGAGGATTTTAATGGAAAGTAGGAGCAGATGACTAAGAAGGAAGCAGTGGTCACCTTCTTTGAAGGGATGACTCAAGAACGCTGAGGGGGAAAGGACATTTTTTTAAGCATCTTATTCAAACTTGTCCTTAAGTGTTTGTCCCAAATTAGGATGTAAATCTTCTTAAATTTTTTTTTTTAAAGAGAAAAAAAAATAGTTTAGAATGGGCAGCTGACCTCTCTCGGCTCCCAGGCGTCATTGCAGAGCAGTCCAAGGAACACTGGGAAGCCCTGCAGACTCGGCCTTTCCATGCGGGAGCTGGAGTTGTGTCTGTGTGAAGTGTGGTGCCAGGGAGGATGAGGAGGAAAATGGGACCAAGAATGAATTCTAAATTGTTGGGAGCCGAAAGATGTGGAGCCTGTGGTTCATCTGTTGTAAAGGTATTTCATTTTTTAAAATACTTTATCCTGTGTCAACAACTGCTTGATAACAAAATACATTCAGTTTGAAGACTTCTTTCAGGTTTCCAGTCATCACTGAATTGGAAATCAACATTCAGTATCTTCATCTTTCTCATGATAAGGTCATGTAGCCCCATTTGCAGGGAGCTCAAGGGCCATAGTCTGTACCTAGTTGCACTCCTAACTCAAATGCTGGTGTCTCCAGTGGTTCGAATCCACCAGCTACCCTATGAGAGAAAGATGGACAGCTTTCTGTGGTTGGCAATTTATGGCCCTAAAAACCTGAGAGTCACTACGGGTGAGACAGCAATGGACCACGCGTGTGTGCACATACATGGACATGGACACACACACACACACACACACACACACACACACTTTAATATCCACCACATAAAACCACTAAAGCATATATTTGCACAGCTCCTAGATGGATGATAAGCTGTATTTCAAGTGAAATCTGAAAGATAAAGGAATAAAGAAAAGTTCGCTTGGGTAACCATATTGAAGTGTTTGTTCCTCTGTTTATACATCCAGCTTGTCCCTGTGTCATTTCTTTGACACATGCTAATTAAGTGGCCTTCAAATAGTACAGTAGCCTATGAGTCTACAAGATGTGAAGGCATATAAATTTTTAAAAAGAGAAGCTTTAGAGGATAAGCTAGTATGCAGCACTACAAAATGATGCCTTTCTGAAATTATCATGACTGCCAGGAAAACCAACAGTTTCGTCCTCGAGAGGGTGAAACCAGGCTGCTCCTTGAAGGCAAGGATTCGGAAGCTTCATCTGACCTACTTTGGGCATGTTGCAAGGAGGGACCAGTCTTTGGAGAAGGACATCATGCTTTGGAGAGTGGAGGGACAGCGCAGGAGAGGAAGACCTTCAATGAGATGGATCGATTCAGTGATTGGGGTAATGGGAGTAGGTATGTCAGAGAGAATAAGATTTGCACAGGATAGAGCAGAGTTCAGGGCTATTGTACATAGGGTCGCTATGAGTTGCAGGCAACTCGACGGCACATAACAACAATAAACAACAACTATAGAACTACAAAATGAATGTTTCTTCATAAATAAACATTTCTCATAGCTAAATGTGGATGACTGCCTGACATTCTAAAATTATGTGAAATTGAGGGAGGAAACAAATTCTGACTGAGGCCTTGGAGTAGAATTATTTTAAGTGGTCTTTCGGGTGTCCTAAAAAATGACTTGCTCACAAAGTATTTAATTTGCTAGGAATAAATAATAACAATGTTAAAAAATCCATGTCACTTGAATCTTATTGGCAGGGCAGAGCTTGCTGTGCTGGCTTCTACACTGACTGTGCCTGAGGCCAGGGTTAAACACCTGGTAGCCAGCCACATCGGCAGCTGTTGAAGGCACCACTTCTATGCTTTAATTTCTTGGTCAGAGATGCCAAAATCCTAAAGTGGGGGAAGGAAGAAGTTGTATATAATCTGTGCACTGATATTACAGCCTTCAAAACTGTAGAAAGAGGTGATGCACATCACAGGCTGCTGCCTAAGAGTTCAAACCTTAACTGAGCACCCAGCTGGGAGGAGAATATGATAAGAGTGGTTAAGTGGTTAAGATAATGACCATTGCATTGGAACAGATGAAAGAAAGAACTATCCATAGGACAGCAGCTCAGAATAAGAGGTATATCATTGCAAAGAGGGCGGGGTGAGGTAGGGAATTGTGCAACAATGAATGAATATAAAAAAAGTTAAATGGGGGAAGGTTAAGAGAGGAAGAGTAATATGTGCAACAATGAATGAATGAAAATCTAACTTCTGTAAATGTTCATTAAAATCACAATTTAAGTAAAATTTTATCTAAAACTAAAAAGAATACATGCAGTAGGAAAATCTACTCTGGAGATATGAAAATTCTTTTTTTTTTAAAAAAAAAGAACACTGTATTTAGTAATCAGTTTGCTAGAAAAGAATTCAAAGCTCACAAAAATTCCACAAATCTCAATTCACTAATAACTTTTAAATGAATTTTAAATTCAGCAGAGAAGAAAATGCCTCTGGGTTCCCCTACAAAACTATTAAATAAGTGCTGAAAGTACAAGTGACTAGGTGGGTGGTGTCATCTGTAAAATGCACAACCCTAGAAATGAAAAAAAAAGGTGCCTCAACTTCCCAGAACAGTGTCCGTGTGTTTACGTTGCTACCCAGACACAGATGGAGTAAGTGGGCACTGCTTCGGCCTTGTGCGATCTTTTAAAAACACCTTTATTAGTGAAACTTTTAAAAAGGTAACCTTGCAAAAAATGAATTTGCAAATAGTAGTCGGCATTGGCTCTGGTCAAAGAAAGACCTGTGTAAGATGTAAATTGAACTTAAGTTCCAGCCTTTCTCACTACCCTTAAATAAGAAAACATTGTCCAGGTTTAATTTCCCTAAGATCATCAATTTGACTGATAGCCAATCAATACCCAACAGTGTGAATAGGAGTCAGCTTGTCTTGAAGTTAACGACTTATAATCACCTTTATGTTGGGTCTTAAAGCTTTATTATCCTTCAGTACAACTAGCACAGTTAAGTGCCAGTGAGCCGAGCTGGTATTGATGGAGGTGCCAACCAAAATTTTAAGGTGCCGGAGTTACTTTTTCGAAACCATTTATACTGAACAAGCGTGTAATTTTGTAAAATGATCACTGCTGCTCCAGTAGAGCTACCCGAGCTCTGGCCTCTTCTTGTGCTTTAAATTCACACACCATTGGGCATAGCCACACACACTCCCAACCAAGTTATCACTTTCCCTGCTACATCCGAGCAGTTCAAGGCCTGAGCTCTCTTAAGGAGAAGAGGGCAGGCTACCGACGTGAAGTTGTGGCGCCTCCCGGGGCCGGTCGGCGCCCCGGGGCGCGGAGGGCGCAGCGCGCGCTCTCCTCTCGAGGAGCTGGGGACCCCCGGCTGGTGGGCGCCGCGCGCAGGCGCTGGCTCCGGGTCCGGCTCAGTCCGGAGCCCTTGCAGCCCCTCGCGCCCGGCTGGTGCGCACCCGTCTCCGCTGCTGACCGGCCCCGAGTTGCCGAATAGCTCGGATGTTTGTCATATTTGCGGTCGCGCGACTCGGCGGGCTGTGCGCGCGCCGCCCTCGCCGCCTCCGCCTTTGTCACCAGCGGTGTCGTCATTTGCATGAGTATTTTCTGGAGTGGGGGGGGGGGGTGCTACTCGTGGTAGCCCTGGGCCTCTGGCCCAAGCCGCCTCCGCCGCCTCCTCCACCTCCTCCTGTCCCTACTCTTCTCAAGCCTCAGAGGAAATAAAGGGCGCGCCCAGCAGCCCGGGAGCTGCGGGGCGGCGCTGCCCCCGGCGCCTCGCGTGCTCCGCCTGCTCCCGCCCGCTCCTTCCTGCTCCTCGGGGCGGCCCCCGCTCGGGATGGATCGCGCCTCCTGGGACTGCCGGGGAGGGGGCGGGGTCTGTGCTTGGGGGCGGGGCCTGCGCTGTGGAGGGCGGAGGAGGCTGAGTGGGGGCGGAGTCTGCGCCATGGAGACAGCCGGCTGAGTGAGGGGCGTGACATGGGCGTGGTCTGTGCCGCAGCGGGCGGAGGTAAGGGCGGGGCCTGCTGCGCGGAGGGGCGGGTCCAGGGCGGGGCCTGCGCCGCCCCGGCCGGAGCTCGCGGGAGGCTCGCTGGCCGCACGTCACTCCCGCACGGCGAGTGCAGGAGCACGAGCTGCCGCCTGCTCCGTCAGGGCGCCCCCTCCGCCCGCCTCCTGCTTCCTCCGCCGCCTGCCGCCGCCTCCTCCTCCACCATTGTATAATGCTCCGAGCGCGCAGGCTGAGGACGGCGGAGTCTTAGCCCCGGGGTCGCCTCCTGCCCGCTCCCCGGCGCCACCCTCGGGCCCCCGGCGCGGGGGAGTCCGTATGGAGCGGGTGTAAGCGGAGGAGTGGGCGGAAACCCCTCCGGATGCGTTCGTTCCCAGGTGGAGCTGCATGTGGTAAGT